ACAGGGATTATGGGAAAAGACTTAGAACAACTGTTCTCAAATATTTTTCTGTCTCAGTTCAACCAAAGAGTAGAATGCCATTCTCTCAGTGACAAATATTTAATTTTAACCCATACAGCTGCTGAGAAGTGCATCTGAAAAGCGGGAGTCATGATCCTACCCCTTCTCCATCCCCTTACTCTCAAGTCCCTCCCACTGAGCATCCCTGATGTTGAGGTTGCAGTCAGGTAGAGCTGGTTGAGGTGGGGAGGATGCACTTCCACCTGCCTTAAGGGTTGATGACTGTTACGTTCAAGTTTCGTTTGAGAGGTCAGTCGATGTCAGCTTCTGCCACGGAGTGAGGAGACCAGTACCTCTAGAGGAAATAACAGAGTAAAATTAGAGCAGTAGGGAATTGTGTAATGTCTCCAAGGATCTATAAAGTTCAGGATGACTAGAACAAGGAAGTATGGGGAGAAGTCAAAAAAGATGAGAGTGGAGGAGAAATCATACCTTAGTGAGTTCTGATGTCTTGTGGGCACTGAGGCATATTGAGTGTAAAAGATGACATTTTCAAGTTTGTGTTCTAGAAAAATCACTCTGTTAATGATGTAAAAAAACAAAAATGGGCTGGCAAAAGTTTTCAGAGATTAGTTAAGGTGGTAAAGCCTGGGCTAGGGACCGTCAATGGGAAAGTTCGGGAGAGAGGCAACTGCATTGTATACTTTTGTACTTTAGAACAAATGGAGATGCGTGCTAATAATTGATGGTGTTTCAAAAACGTTGGTAGCCAAGCAGCAGGTGCAAGAGATTATAAGCCTGAATTCTTGTTAAACTTAGTTTAAAAGTGCCCTGCGAAAGCACAATCATTTTATTCTTATTGCTAGTGATATGGCTGAACAGTTGCTCCAGTTTAGAAAAATAAGGATGATTTGAGGAAGGATCACACAAGATACAGTAATGAAGCACTGCTATTCATAATACCCAATCACTGTTGCTCTTGATGGCTTAAAAGACAATAATTTGGAAAAAGCTCCAATGACAATTCTGAGTTGAAGAGTAATTCTGAAAAGCTGGACTCTGAATGAGAATTTGTTTTGTTTAAAATATATATCTTTATATATATATACCTTATTAAGAATGTGATGTTCAAGGCAAGACACTCCCACAATGGATATCAAGCTCTACCAGGTATTTCTAGGCCTGGGGAAGTTGCTCTCCTTAAGATTTAATAAGGGTAAAATGGGATTAATGGGAAGCCTCAACTCATATTATTGTAAATGTGGAATTGTGTAATCATAAAAGCAATAGGGTATAATAGTGCCAACTCTGACTTAGATCATGATCCTTGGGATGATTCTGAACTATTCTATGCCTTTGTTTCTTCATCTATAAAATGGGAGAAGTAATTGTACCTATTCCTCAGTGGATTTTTTTGAGAATAAAATGACATAATACTTGTAAAGATTGAATTTGATGATTAGTATTATATCTGGCTCCTGGTAACCACATTTAAACGTCAGCTAGAATTAGCTAGTTTGCTGGCTACTTTAGAGACAGCATAATCCAATCAGCTATTACAGAAAGGGGTGAAATCAAACAGCTCTTCCCTAAAACTAGATTTCCCTTCAGAGTTACCTGCTTGCTGTTGCCCCTACTGATGACTGCCTCTGACCTCCTCCTCATCCAGCCTAACTCGTTCCTTCTGGATCTTAACTGATATCCATGAATCTGACCTCTTGCCAAAAAGTCGATTATTTCCTTACCTACTGTGTTCTTTCCATGTTTCGCCTTTTTTCGGTTGTTGTTATTTGATCACTCCCAGACGTCTCCTGGTTAGGAAGCCTCTCCGTAACTACTACACAAATATTTGACATTTGTATAGCACTTCACGGTATTTACCAGGCACTTCTCTATTCACAAAGTGAGGCTGTTAGGGCAGGATTTTTTTTTTTTTTTAAGTTTGAAATAAGAGCTCTATTATTACTTGATGGATAAGCTCATTAAGGTATATGTTTATCCAAACTTCTTAGAGTAATGGTAAAAATGTAAAACAAGAAAACACAACCTGATGAAGCTGCCTGTGAAGCTTAAGATAATATATTTAACTGCATTGCAGTTACAAAAATTATAAAATATAGGTTTAATGAAATTAAATAACAAGCTCAGATGAGACATAGAGGAATTCTGGATCCATGTGTTCTGACTTTGGCTCAAGTTTGGCCTCAGTCCTTGTGTATATCTCTTCTGATGAGATAAGCATGAGGGTGAAGTGTGAAATTCAAGAACATATATGTGCGTTATTGATTCCTGAATTTGTGAATATATACAGTTACTCCAAATTCTAGATGGGCTTTGGAATTTAAGTTCCATGAGAAGGAAAACACAAAGAAAATAAACAATCTGTTATTGATAGGAAGAATACATGACTCATTTATATAACACTTCATGGTTTTATAAATCACTTTCTCAACCATTATCACAGTTGAATATGTTTCTTTACAAAGTTATTAAAGTCACATTATTTAGGAGTCAAAACATTTCAAAACACTTGGAGGCAGTGAGTTTCTATGTAATGTGGTAGAAAGACATTTATTGATGAACATTTTATGCCATTATTATTCTGTTCACAGAGGAGTGAAAGTAGAAACTGCATGGAATCAGACTCTTAGACTGGAGCAAATGAAACTGGAAAAATGCTCTGGAAACCCACTTACATAATTCTTTCCCATCTATTTATTTATTTATTTTTTAACCATATATTTAGTGTTTGAGATGTGTGTGGGAGGGGGAAGGTTCAACATGAACCAGCAAGGAGAGAAGAATATGGGAAGAGGATAGGAAGGAAGCAGGATGTCACACTGAGATAGCAGTGGTCTTTCTGAAGATGTGTTGAGGAAAAAAAAGAAAAAATACACTGCCCTTCTGTACTCTGCAGTTTCTTGGAGTTCATGAGAGAATGTTGCCAATGAATCTTTTGTGATCTCAATTCTCGCTTTCAATTCTCGCTTTGTCACCGTGACTATCACAGCCCTTGACCTAGAGAGTGTCTTATGCACTCAGTCATGTCTGACTCTTTGCAAACCCATGGACTATCGTCTGCCAGGCTCCCCTGTCCATGGGGATATTACAGGCAGGAGTACTGGAGTGGGTTGCCATTTCCTCCTCAGGGGATCTTCCCAATCCAGGGATCGAACCCAGTTCTCCTGCACTGCGGGCAGATTCTATACTGCTGAGCCACCAATCAGCTGCTCTAGAGTGTCAGACAACAGAAGATGTATTAACTCCTTTTTCACAGGTTCAGTGGTGGACCACTTAAATGTTAAATGTCATCTCCAGCTACCACACCCTGTCTCCCCTCCCATCTTTTATTCCTTCCCATTCTTTCTTTCCTCTTCCTTGGTCTCTGCCCTATAGTTACTCTTGTCCTGTATTCTGTGACCTACAGGTAACTTTTATTTCAAGTGCATGACCTTAAGTATACTCTGTTCATCACCAACAGTGACACAACCACATGCAGTGGTTTTAATATTTCACATGTATTACTGCATTTGGTCCTTATTTTCAAACATGTAAGTTATGACATTATTACTGTTTATTACCATCTTCATTAATATTTTGCTCTGACTATTATATGAGTTGGATGATGCATTTTTGTGAATTGTCCAAGATCACCAAATCGGAAGTATTAGAGTTCAGACTGTTGGCTACTAAGAGATACAAGACAAAGGTTTGCCTTTGTTAAATTAAGCAGCAGGAATGAAAAGACAATCTTTGTGTCAGTGAAAACTGAATATTAAAATGCTGATAACCTATTATTGGCTGTTGCAGCCTATTTCAGTGGCAGAGCTGCCCAGCTAAAACACTGTGTCCGCAATGTGATATTTCTGGTGCAAAAGCTGGCTCTCAGCTAAAGGTTAGCAGAAGTGCAGTTCAAGTGAGCAGAAGGGGAAGCTATCATCAGTGATGTTAGTGCTTTTTTGATTGTATAAAAAGACTGGCTTCAATGCAAGAAAAATAAAATTCAATCTGTGAAATTTATTTTAGTAAACAAATATTAATATATTTAAAAATTATTTTAAATTGTGATATAACACATGCTTATTATAAAAATGTTGAACATTACTAAATTTATAACATAGGGCATCTTCTCTCTCTCATCCAATTTTATTCCACAGAGGTAAGTATGGTTATCAATTTGGTGAATATATTTCTAGACATTTTCCATGTGTATATAAGCACCCATGCATATGAGGGTCAATAGGAAACTTAATAATATGGAAATGTGCTTTCTTAACATACTGTATTTTTTATATATTCACATGGGTATTTAACTCATTTACTTTAATGATTGTATCACTTCCATTGTGTAATATTCTATAATTCATTCAATCAGTATACTGTTACTGAATATTTAGGTTACCTGGCTTTTGTTGTTAGTACAAAAAGTTGCAGTGAACATGCTTATACAACATTTAATCTTGTGCATTTATCTTTGGATAATTCACATAAGTGGAAATTATGGTACTGGGATAATCACTAGTATTTTAAATATGTTGGTACATTCTTATGATGCTGCTTGGAGTTCAATCTGTGAAGACACAATGTACACACATAAAAATAGTATTTTTGCAATAAAAGTATTTTTTTTTTTTTTCTCATTGCAGACAGATCAAACTTTCGCCAAAACCGGTTTGATTCTGTTTCTTTCTCTAGGTGCAAAGTTCCATATACCTAACAATTTCAATTATCCTTTCTGTGGTACAATAAAACAATTTGTCAAACCAGACCATATATAATTCTTCAAAGTATGGAATATCTAAGATGGAGAGTGATCACTATGTGTGATAGTTGGTCTTTTGTTTTGGGGCAAGGCCCTTGAGTCTTGGATCTTTCCTGCTATCTTAACCAGTATGGTAATCCTTTAACCTTTCTTTCACAGCCTTTTTACTACAGACAGTGGAATGTTTTTAATAGGAAGTCTATTCCCCATTGAAATCATCCTTTTCCCCCTCTTTCAGAGCTGGTCGGGGACTTTATGGTATTGACAGTATGCCAGATCTCCGCAGAAAGAAAACTCTGCCTATTGTACGAGATGTGGTGAGTCACTCCTGTTTAATTCATTTTGACTGCATGTGTTGTCTTTATTAGATGTCATATTGTCCTTCTCGTTAAATGCCTAGCCTGTAAGTATTTCATAGCATAAAACAGAAGAAGCTGGATGCTAGCAGCATTAGGCTTATTATTTCTTTAAAGTCTATTAGATGGAGAAAATAGCTCTAACCTTTTGACAGCTTTTGATATTAGGTGAAATTACAGATTGAGTTAAAATAATTGAGCAAAAAGGAAGTCACATAACATGCCAAGTGGGCTTCTGCAATTGGGCTTTGATGTGCTCAATTTTATAGATGACTACGAGTTTAATTTGCAGTGGAAGGCTGGATTTGAAGTTCTCACCTTAACCCTATAATCTTTAGCATTTTATAAAGCAAGCAGAAAATGTTAATCGGTTCTTTATTCTTTTATGTTAAGATCAAATCTAACCAAATTAATAAGCTGTTTCACCCTCCAAAAAAAAAACCCATGGCTTCCAGGTCATTAAAGCCTATATTAGCCCTGAACATAACTCTGAATAACAAACTCTCCTATAAGGAAATATGCTGGAGACTGCTGAGAAATTAAAAGAATTAATAATAGTCTGTATTAAAGTCTAAAAAAATAGCCCATCAACAGGGAAAAGAAATATTTTCTATCATTCACAGTGTTTTCATATTTTGGAGGCATATTCTTAATGGTTTATTACATGAAAATATATTTCCCCCAGAGAAACTGAAGTTTCCCTTTTATAACAATGTACACAGCTTCTTGATACTGGTAATTTTAAATTTTTCTGTGAAAGCCTTTATCTGAAGGTCATCACTTTAGCTTTAAATTAGAAAAGACAAAATCTTTCCTAGAAAAATCTTATGCTGGAAAGCATAATATGTCTGTACAGTTAGCTCAGATTCCTGCCGTTGTAGTGTGACATCATTTTTTAGCATTAGGCTTATTTAACATTATTATGTTCTTTTCTCATATGTCTAATTATTTATATTTTATTTTTTCTATCACTTGGACTCTTCAGGCCATGGTAAGTGATTTTAAACGTATTTAATTACTATTTGGCAGTCTTCTCAAATGTATACTCCTCTTATTTATTTATGCGATCAAAGAGAACATGGTGGGGAAATAAAGAGAAACATATAAGAAGTTTGGGTTCTATAAGAATTTAACATCTCAATTCTGAAAGAACAACTTATGTAAATAGAAAGTGCAAATATGGACTGAAATAGACTAAAAACATAATTTGAGGGACAGTAGTTGTCAGAGATAAAAGACTTTCTTTGAAGATAAGTGCCCTATAAGTTTACATGGTAGGGTTGGAGACGGATGGAAAGTCACCTCCCCACTTAGGTCTGTGCCGAACTTAACTAGGCACAGTGTCTTTGTGGCTCCAAGTAGATATATTTCTGACCAGATGAATTATTCCACTCTGACTTTCCTTTGTTCCTAATGGGGGAGAATATTTAATATTCCCATGTAGCACTGATTTCCACAGATCTCTATAGTACCATTGAGTATATTATACATTATGTCATGTATGTTTCTAGCGGGAGCAGTATAATGGTTCTATTTTACAAGGGAAACTAAAGGAATGTAACTCTTATTTAAAATCACCTAAGTTACCAGCATTGAGTGAAGAAAACAAATCTGGGAATGATGATTCTCACTTGATAAAATGGATACTTGGTAAGAAAACACATTGGCTAGATATGGAAGCATATTTCAGGAAACTATAGACAATTCAAGTACCTGTTGTGATCAGGGCTATCAGAGAAGTCAGCTGGCTCTGTGTCAATGGTCATGTTTTATGAAGGCATGTGATTATGGTCACCTTGAAGAAAAACAATGTTTTAGAAGTCTCATGCTAGCCTAGAAACCTTGGGTTACTCAGTCTTCCTTCCTGGGCCTCAGTTTTATCATTTGTAAAATGTAGGGTCTAGGTTTGATGATCTAAAAGGGACTTTTTTAGCTTTAATATTCCGTGATTCCACATTTCTGGATGAATTGGCTGACTACTGAATATAGTAGGTCCCTGTTACCTAAAGTATGAATAGTGATAGTCTATACTCTTACATCTTCATCTTCTGCTGAGTAATAGGTGAATAACAGTCACTTCATGTATCAGTAACTCACAATTGTTTTTTTTTTTTTGTTTTAATTTTTTAAGACCCTGGCTGCCCGGAAATCTGGACTCTCCCTGGCTATGGTGATTAGGCCATCTTTAAACAATGAGGAATTGGTAGGTGCAGAGTCAGCTACTAACTATGCATTGCTCATAGTCTGGGGAAAAGCATTCTGCTTGGGCCGCTTGTTTGTTATGTTTATTCCAAAGTTCTAGGAATAACTGGGAACATGCAGAAAGTCTCACCCTGAACAAATTTCCTCAAAGCCTCAGCTGTACTATCATACAAATTATCCTGTGTTGCTCAAATATTCATGTACCTTCCATCTTTACAAATGCTGTTTCATCCAAACACAGTTTGCTTGTTATAATCCACCTGAAAATTCCTGCTAAATTTCTACATAGTCCACATGTTGCCTCATTTTTAAGGCTTTCCCAAACACCCCCCTCCTCTTTTGGCTCAGTTATTTGTTTCTTCCTCTGGGCCTTCCTAGCATTTAATCACAACCTCCAGAGGATGGTGTGGTTAAGAGTGAAAGCTGCTTGCGGTGAGTTGCATTTGGATCACTAAATTAGCTTATTATATCTGGCAAGTTATGTAACTTCTCTGGGCCTGAGTTCTCTCATGTGTATAGTGATGTGATAATAATACAGAAGATGAAGGGATTGGATAAGTGTTTAACATGCTTGCACAGGCTAGGGTACAGCATACAATAAATACAAGCTGGCACTTTTATTATTTTTGTTAGTACAATTTGATTATTTTGCATAAACCTTCCCTTTTGACTCCATGGGGGTAAGAACTGTATCTTGTTTGATGTTCTTGTTAAATGTTTTCATCCCTATTGCTTTCTACATAGTCTGGAATGAGATAGATGCTTTGTCAATTCCTTATTGAATGAAAGAACCAACATGATTAGAAGGTAGAAATAGATTACAAGTATCTAGATCAGGGATCCTTGAATTTCACTCATTAGAATTGCCTGTGTGTCTGTGTGTGTGTGTGTGTGTATGTGTGTGTTGCTCAGTTGTGTCCTGCTGTTTGCAACCCATGGACTGTAGCTCGCCAGGCTCTTCTGTCCATGGGATTCTCCAGGCAAGAATACTCGAGTGGATTGCCATTCCCTTCTCCAGGGAATCTTCCCGACCAGGGATCATACTCAGGTTTCTCCTGCACTGCAGGCAGATTCTTTACCATCTGAGCCATCTAGAATCACTTAGGGGAGCTTTCAAACCCTGATGCCTGAGTCTCATTCCCATGACTGACTTAACTGGCTTCAAGTGTAACCTGGATAGAAGGGTTAAAAAAACAAACAAACACACTCCCAGGTAATTCCAATGAGCAGTGGATGTTGTGCCATGGTAACTACATCCTGCCAGCCACTATGCTGGGGCTTGTATCCAAGAATATTTATCTGTGCCCCCCTTTATTGCAACTGTGTACTCTACCTCCTTCAATTTTAGAGACTTTGTCTTTCTTAGAGAATAAAAACATGGCCACTATTGCTTGTTTTAAATTTCTATATACTTGACATGTAAACACCATTAATTACATTTATATTTCTCATTTTCTTCTTCTTTCATTGTCATCTTCCACCCAAAGCCAATCTTTCCTAGGTCTGCATCAGTAAACCCTCCCCAACCCAATATATATCAGCAGTAGTACACGTCTATTTGAATATCTGGGTGCTATAGTGGGTTCAGAACACTTTGTATTGTGCCATGGTATTTTTAAAACATGACTGCTTTCCCAGGGGTTTATTTTTATCTATTGGGTTTATGATACCATGTAATACTTCCAGTGTAGTTTGGATACAAGAGAAAATAAACATTCTCTGATATATGAAAAAGCCTCGTATTGCTAACTGAATCTCAGAGTACCCAGTCTTTTGCTTTAGAGGAAATAATCAAAATGGAAGCCTTTTATTGATAGACTTCTAGACTGTTTTTTTATGTTTTAAAATATGGTCTTTAGTTTAAAGCACAAATACTCATCCCTATGAAAAGTTAAGAGGAAAGTAATAGAAATTAGAGGAATGCCATTACATTTTCTGAGGCTCTAACAGAGAGCACACCCTCACTGTATGGTTAAAATAGCTATTGATCAACTGTTCCTTTACTTAAAAGTATTCATTTTCTTTAGTTTCAGAAGGCCTCTGTAAAAAAATTTTCTGTGTGAGTGTTGGGTGGGTGAACCAAGCCCAACAGTTCCTGCTAAAACTCATAAAGCCCATTTCCCTGGGGCCAGTGTCTCAAAAAGCAAATGAAATATGACTTCCATACAACAGGCATATTAAATGTCATTCTTGACAAGCTGTCACATTAAGTCATTACATGGGCAACTAATATAAATACTGGAGTGAATAATTTCTAGTTCCTGGTGCCGCAAGTCCCAGGCACCCTCAATGTGAAGCATGAAATATTTGCCTTTACATGAAGAAAAACGACTTGGCCATGTGGAAAATGGTAGCCTTCTATTTTAATAGCCCTATTCTATTTGAATTAAAGAGATGTACAGTAAAAAGCTCAATCATCTCTTCCAAGGAAGGAAAGTGCTCTAAAATCTGAGGCAAGTTGACAGTGGGTAGGCCAGCACCATCTCCATTGACACACAGTTGGCAGTGGGCAAATCACTGCCAGGTGCTCCATCCGTCACCAATTCCCACTCGCCATAAGGAGATACTGGGGTTGACTGGGAGTCTCAGTCTAATTAGCCCTTAAGGCCTACAGTTTCTAAATAGTTCAATCTGGTTGAATAACACAGGACAGAATAACAATCTGGTATTCATACACAGTAATCTGCCTGGCACTATACTGCTTAGCTTTGTACTTGCTTGCTCAGTGATAATTTCCTAGGTTTGGACCCAAGAGCAGCACAATGAAAATAAATCCACTCAACATTGTAAGAAATATGGATTGTCTACTGTGTTTCAGGCATTGTTTCAGATTTTGGAAATAAGGCAGAGAACAATTCATCTAAAAATCCCTGCCGCCACGATGCTTATAATGTAGTGAAAGGAGAACTGAGATTACAGCCACCCAAGGACTGTTGCCATGGTTCTTAACAGAAGCTCTTAGTTGGTGGGGTATTTAAATTAAGATAGGCTTAGATGATGGTTATAGGAAACTCCGAGTGAAGAACCCAATCACCAAGGCTAAAAGAGATTCTTGAACATGGTTTGTTCTGTCTGGGTTGATGGCCATGTTTAGGAGACTGGCCTAAGGACATGCTTATAGAGTGTGTGAATTCTCACTAAGGGTTGATTTGTCTAGGGATATAGAGGTCCTTCTTCTAATACAGGATTCAGGCCAAAGTAAAGAGACTGGCAAGAACTAGGTGTGAGAGTGATCAGGAAATCAGACCTGGGTCCTATTCCTAGCATGACACTAGAAGGATACATGGGAGAAGGAAACAGTTCAGAACCACCTGCCTCGTATCTGGGATTCAGTCTGGAAGTTGAAGGCTCACAGTTCAGCCAAGGAGTCTGGGGTTCTGCTCAGAAACAGGAATCCTTTCAAACCACATGAATGATTGTTGAAGTGATGTGACTTGAATTTGAATCTCAGCTCCACCTTTTACTGATTTTCAGAACTCATTTCTTGTAGTTATACTTTATCTCCCTGAGACTTGTTTACCTCATCCTTAAATTAATGCAATAATACTTACTTCACAATGAGTGAGAATTAAGTAAATGTCTTGCCAGGCACAGCAATGGCCATCAGGGCAATGAGGTAGGAACTTAAGATGAAGAAAGCAGAGTACATGCTGAGCCCAGTGCATCCCTGTCGCCTTTGCAACTGAGGGAGGGGTTGCAGGGAGTATTCACAGGGGCTTCTTTACAAGTAGTGTTGCTGTTGGTCTTGCTTCCTGCCTTCTTCAAGAGCATGGTCCTAGGCTTGAGAAAAGTGTTGGTCCAAGCCCACCATTTATTAACTGAGGGAACTTGGGCAAGTTACTGAAATTTTCTTGGCTTCAGTTTTCTCATATGTTTGCTAATTATGTAAAATGTTTGTGCCCACATACATTAGTCAAATGGCTTATGGTTTACCATGTCTTTGAACAGTCATGGCATCAATAACAAATTAATTTTGTTAAGTAAGCTAGAGAGCTTTCCTTTTCATCACTTCTCTGGGATGATCTATGTGAAATGAGTGTTGCTATACCTTGAAACACTGACAAAATTTGCCTCTTAAAAGCACCTTGTTGTTTTGTTTAGGGTTTTTTTTTTTTTGAAGGTAGTTATTTGACTACTAAATCAATTTATTTAGTGTAACAGTTTTTTCCTGTTATTTAAACATTTGTTCTTGAGTCAATTTTGATAATTTATATTTTTCCCAAAGGTTGTCTTTTTTCCTAAATTTTCAGATTGAATACCATCACATTGTTCATATAATTATATCATTCGTAAAAGCTTGAGCTGTTTCATCTTATTTATTTGTACTTTTTTCTCTTTTGTAATGTATACAAGAGATTCTCTGGCATTTGTTGACTCCATATTGTTGATTTGGTTTCTATTTCATTTATTTCCAGTCTTGTCTTATTTGAATTCATCTTCTACTGTTTATATTTATCCTGAAGCTATTTTTCTAACTTAAGTTGAATATGTAGTTTGTTAATTTTTATTGTTGCTGTTAACTATTGTTGTTGTCCAGTCGCGAAGTCCTGTTTGACTCTTTGCAACCCCATGAACCACAGCATGCCAATCTTACCTGTCCTTCAGTATCTCCCAGAGTTAGCTCAAACTCATATCCATTGAGTCAGTGATGCCTTCCAACCATTTCATCCTCTTTTGCACCCTTCTCTTCTTGCCCTCAATCTTTCCCAGCATCAGGTTCTTTAACTATTGCATACACACAAAATACATACAGCATCAACAAAGTGAAAAACAGTACAAACACCTGTATATCCATCACTTAGCTTTGAAAAGAGAGTATTTCCACCCTCTGTGTATTCCTTTCTCATTTTCTTCCTCCTTCCAAACTTCAAAGATTTTATATCTATCATTTTATTGCTTTTGTTTATATTTTTAACCACATGTGTATAACTTAATTTTCTTTTTGTCTTTTCTAACGTATGCATTTAAAACTATCCATTTTCCTCTTAGCATACTTTAGCT